AGTTGTCCATGGCGGAAGGAAAGAAGGACGACATGGACGTGGACCAGGACGCTGCCAAGGGAGGTTCCTCCGGGTTGCTCAGGTCTGCGATGAACGAGCCCATACTGAGGCTGGGCAGGTGAGACCGGACAAGACGAAGTTCGAGGAGTACCGAAAAACTGCACCCAGGTATGAGTACAGTGGGGAGGGAGATGATAAGAGGCTCCTTCCCACGAACACTCCCATCGACATGGAGAAGCCCTTGCCGGCCGAGGCGGCGATCTTGATTCCCCGGGCCGTGGCTACGCAAGCGGAGGCTGAGGAGGCAGAGAGGAGTGCCATGGAGGCTATCCGCGGAGATGCGGGGCTTCCCGACGTTGGTCAGGAGGACCGGGCGGCGGCCGATCCTCAACAGGTGACGACTGGGGATCTGGCGGCATCGGTAGATGCGCTGACCAGGACATTGAGCAGCTTGCTCGGGTGGTCGGGAAATTTGCTTGATCCCGCGAAGTCTGCTGAGCTGGTCGCGGCGAGATGGGGTGGTAAGGCGAGTTACGACAAGCCGGAGGCCCCACTGACCGAAGCCGGAATGAAGAGTGCTTCGCTGGAGGACCGAGCATATGCTCTCACGCAGCTGAACCGGGTGGTGAACTTCCATAAGAAGTACTTGTGCTTTGGACGAGGGGCGCCTTCGGTGGGCCCGTCGGCTCCAATCAACCCATTCGCGCCCGGCCAGGTTGACGAAAGCAGGGGATTCCGCACGAGTGAGAATCCTAGAAAGATGACGTACAATCTCGTCGTCTCGGACGGGAAGAGGGACTACCTTGCCGATAGGCTAGAGATAAGTCAGGAGATGCGAGCATCCGGGCTAGTGCCTCCTGAGGCTAAGACATGCCAAATAGTGGTTCCCACGAAAAGCAGGATGGGCGAGCCTGGCTATGAGCCGGGAGTAGCGGCCACGATCGCTGGGCGTGAGACTGCTCAGGCAATGATGAAGCTACTCACGAGCGACTTTGATGGATTGGTCATCAATTCGAAGAAGATCTCGGAGTTATTCGAGGAACGGGTATTGAAGGAAACCGGGCGTCAGCCTGGAAATTGGGTGAACATAGATCAGGTCGTGTGGTTCCTGAAGGAGATTGTGGGGATGGAGAACGCTGAGATGAATTGGGCATTCTTCAACCCGGCAATCAAGGCTCTCCCGGCCGGGCAGGTTGAGGTCATGTTAATGGCCATGTATGACGAATCCGGTGTCCTCCTCAAGGACTTCACCAGGTTGGTGTCCGTTAGGTTCACACGGATCGGACGGGACATGAGCTTTCAGGCTGTGCGGCGCATGTACACCGAGGCGGATGCTCCTGGTGGCTCTCTAATGTGTGAGATGCCATGGAATGAGCTTCCTATGGTGGGGTACGTCGTCATGAAGTTTCAAGACTTCCGGAAGGCGGTCCAGCTCCAAAGGATGAGGCGGAATGGAAAGGCCATGATCGAGATATTGATCACGAGGCCTGATGAGTACGAATCAATTGGAGATGGGAGGCCGGATGAGGGCTTGGTGCCGATTACGGCGACTTTGCGCCCTGCTGCTGAGGTGTCGCCTTCGTGGTACGTCAGGGACAGGCTACGGAACTACTCTGGTAGGTACGTGGTGGTCATGGTGGATCTTCGGGTGCACTGGTCGTTGGTTGGGCCCGTGTTTCTGACCAGGAGAAAGACTCTTGCCGTTCGGGACGAGATCCAGATGGGTACGTGGAAGGCTGCGTACATGTTCGATGATTACACGATAGTGTATCATCGCGTTTGGGAATATGGTGACTTCACTCCCGATAGGGGAAATCACAGGCGGACGCGTGAGGGCGTCAGGCTGAACGTGACTAGCACCTTCTGTTTGAGGTGCGCGGAGCTCACGCCATCTGGGATGCATTTGTGCCCCGGTTGTGCGCTCCCGGTCTTTTATCCGAACTTCATCCCCAACGCGGACGTGGAGGACTTCGTTAGGAGCCAAATCGTCCCGGACTGGGTGAGGAGGAGGATCGCTTCCGATGTGGTCGGGGTCATCAAGAGGAACTTGATTTCCTATTCGATGGCATCCGACCTGAGGCTGACGGTGCAGAGTGGGATCAGGCTGCCTCCTTATCTCGGTGAAGACAAGGGTGGCGTTGACGCGGCGTGGGATGAATTGGCAAAGGTGCTTTTCCAGTCCTCCTACGTGTCGGGCATCTCGGCCTCGGACGCATTCGTGGAGAAGTGGGTGGCGAAGCATCTGATCAAGACCGACCAAATCGATAGATTTGAGTCGGTGACGGATTACTTCCGAGCGAATCCGGCGCATGCGGCCCAGTGGGGGAAACGTATGACGACTTCCGTTAGGAAGTTCGCACGTCACGACACGTATTTGTCCTTTTACATCCCGATGGCCTATGTGATCGGTGCTGCTGCGGGTCATTTGACTCCGATGTACCCGACCCATAGGGATGATGCGGAAATCCTGGCCAGCCATCGGTTGATGTCGGACCTCAGGAATTACCTGGTCTCGTCTACGGGGTATGATGAGAAGAAAAGGTTGAGGGAGGCGGTAGCCAAAGTGCAGAAGGCAATCAGTGCTGGACAGTCGGAGCCTCCTGCTCCTTTCCGGGACCCATTCGTCTACGTTAGTGACGATCGGGTGAGGACTGTTCTTGGTGCTCAGCAACCGGAGCCGGTTGATGTGGACATCGAAGAGCTTCAGTCGGTACATCATGTTGCTCCGGGTCCTGGTCCAAAGCAGGAGCCGGTCACCAAGGGTGGAAAAGGAAAAGGGAAGAAGGGCGAGAAGGGTGGTAAGGGCGATAGTCCTTCCGACCCACAACCGAAGTCAGGCGAGGCATCGGGCAAAGGATCTGGCAAGGGCGATAGTCCTGCCGCTCCGAAGGCAAAGGCTAAGGCTGACGCTGGGCCGACTCCGATGGAGGTTGATCCGCCGGAAGGTCAAGCGAAGAAGTCGTGGATCGCGGTAGCGGTCGAAGGAGCTCGACCAAGTGCAAAGGCAAAGGCAACTTCAGCCCCGAGGTCTGAGCCGAAGGGAAAGGGAACTCCGGCTTCTGAGTCGAAAGGCTCTCAAGCTCCGAGGACCGAGCCCAAGGAGAAGACGCGTGGAGACCCCAAGGTTGAGGTCAAGCAGGAGAAGGGGAGCGGAGATGATGCTCCCGGCGATAGCCGGGGCTCAGCCGATAAGCAAAGGAGAGAGAGAACGTCTCGTTGGGATCATGAGGTGCCTGCTAAGGAATCAACGAAGCGGGAGGCATCGAAGAGACCCGATGATGTCGACAGCAGGCCAGGGGCAGCGGCGAGAGAGGCAAGTGGAGACGACCTTCACTCCGCGCTTGGTAGGTCTTCGGCAAAGGACGCGGTAGCGCCCCTGACGGCTTCCAAGGCAATGGCGAAGAAGCCAGAGGGGAGCGAGGTCAGGCTGCACTCGGCGGGGCGAGCTGCCGCAAGCCCGGTGGAAGGTCATTTCAAGACGCTACCGGATGCTTCTATGGTGGATGCGTTCCTGGGGATGTCATCCGATAGGGCGCTCAACAGACAGGTGAGAGACTTCATCAGGAACGGCGAAACAAGTTCGGCTTTGGAAGCTCTCAACCAGATCGTGGCGAACTCCCACGCGGGGCGGATACGTCGGGGTACCGATGTTTCCCGAACGCCGTCTAGGAGGTCCGATAGGACACAGGACACTAGGGATTCCCGAGAGTCGAGAAGGCGAAGATATCGACCACGGAGGGACGAGGATCGAGATCGTCGGAGAGACGATCGTCGGGATCATCGGGATGATGATTCGCTGGAACGCGACAGAGATCGACGGAGAGATGATCGCAGGAGATCCGAGAGGGATCGCGACAGGGACCGTGCGCGGGGCGGACGTGACCGGAGGAGGCGTGATGATAGCCGGTAGGCTGATTCACGAGGGTTGCGGCCGGTAGGCTTGCACCCGCCCTCCAATGGTCAACGCTGCGGGGTGATGATCACGTTCATCCTGCACCGCTGAGGCGTGTTGTCCATGCCTCTCCTGTACCGCTGATCTGCTGCTGGTGATGGTCACCAAGAAGTAGTGTGAGTGAGCGGGGAAGCAAACCAGTGGAGGGTACTCCCAGGTTTGCAAAATTAGTATTCTATTTCAAGTATGCATGGTCAGGTGTACCTCTCGCCGATAGGCAAGGGTACAGATTGGACAAATGATATCCTTTTTCATGGCTTCTGATAAGAATTAAACTTCTTGCATTTCTGATGCAAACAGTTGTGACCTATTGTCGTCATGTGGACTTTTCCGTTACATTAATTCGGGGTGGTGGCGGGAATTTAATGGGGTGGTGGCGGGAATTTAATGCCCGGGATGTCGCGCGACTGCCTTTGTGGGTTTGCTCCACCGCTGACGGCGGTAGTGTCCAGCTGTTTGCGGACGTATGCGAGCAGTTAAATCCTATCAGTAAATGGCACGCTCCACCCGTCATATGACGGGCTCCTCGTGAGGGGGGTGTGATTAGCCATGGTTTATTTCATCACCAGGGATGTCGCGGTAGTGACTGACCTGTGGTGTTTGGCTCAAGATTTTGGGTTCCGTCGCGCCTCGAATGGGCGTCGCCGAACCCCTGCGTCGACCGACGGCATCTCGGGGGAGAAAGAGACCTCGGGCCGCCGCCAGGTTGGTAGGGACCAGTCGTGCGGCCTGTTGTCGACCAAGGTTGCGGGTTAACCCTTTTCTTGTTTGGTTTGTTTTCCTTTGGTTGTTGTTCTCTGGTGTGTGGGAAACCCTGATCTTTGGGACCGGGGATTGGTTTGCTTTTGGGGAACCTTTCCTTTGTGGCTTGTTTACCCCAACTTACCCATTGCCTGGGCACAGGCTCGTGCCCGAATCACAGTCTGTAATGTTTACTGGGTACAGCTACTGTTTGTGGAGTGATAGAAACAGCGTGTGTTTGCTGTCACATGGCAATAGACTACAATGTAAAGGTTAGCGGCTTCAACATCTGCGTGCATTGACTCAGGAAGCAGAAGAAGAAGCAGACGAAGTGGAGGACGCAGAAGAGAAGGCCAAAATAGCTTCTGATTCTTGGCATTTTACTTGCTTTTGTCGAAGGCGGGCCCCGGTTGCAGAGTGTTGCAATTTGCTGCTTGAATATGGCCATGCATCCTTTACATGCCATATTGATGTTAATGCTCGCTGGGATTAGCTGAAGACTGCAGTGTGTTAGAAACGGTATGTGTTTGCTGTCACATGGTATAGCCATATCCATACAATATATATATATAGGTGAATGTGTTACTATAATGCATATATATATATATATATATATATGTTGTATATTCATATTATATATAATGTATATGTTGCATATATATCTATGTATATATATATATATATATACATATATATATATATATTGAATATATATGTATATAGTTATTTTGCCTCGGCGTTTCCACGTGGTTTCCAAGGATGGAGAAGAAGAAGCAGAAGAAGGGGAGGACGCAGAAGAGAAGGCCAAGATAGTTTCCGAATCTGGGCGTGCTATATGCTTTTGTCGAAGGCTGCCAAAGTACCGCATGCGCTTGCTTGAATTGTCTACGTACCCGTTATGCCATATTGTCAGCAGTGTCGCTGGGCTCAGCTAATTGCAGGCTGCGGTGTGTCAGAAACTGTATGCGGTCGCCAGCGTTGCCTATTGTTTGCAAGCATCCGCCAAGGATGCAGAGGAAGAAGCGGAGGAAGGGGAGGAAGCAGAAGAGAAGGCCAAGATAGCTTCCGAATCTTGGCATGTGATCTTTGACGAGCCACAGCCGACACCGTTTGCAGAGTATCGCTCAAATTAGGCTCGCTTCGATATTTGAGTGAACATGCCGTAGTGTCACATATTGTGGATGACATTTTTAGCTACAGAACGGATAATAATGCCATGGGGCTTGTTGCCCTGTGTACTTAACTAGTTTTTCATAGGTATTAGGCAAAGCTGGAAGCGCTTATGCTGTGCCTGCCTTTTTTCTGTGATCGGACCTGTTCGGCAGATGGACCGGTTGCAGACCGGAGACACGCGGTCATGTTGAGATAGGCGGTTGCAGCAGCATTATGTGCTTGCAAAGGACGCAGAAGAAGCGGAAGAAGGGGACGAAGCAGAAGAGAAGGCCAAGATAGCTTCCGAATCTTGGCATGTGATCTTTTGCGAGCCACGGCCGACACCGTTTACAGAGTATCGCTCAAATTAGGCTCGCTTCGATATTTGAGCGAAGATGCCGTTGTGTCACATATTGTCAGCTACAGAACGAGAATATTGCCCTTGTTGCCCTGCGTATTATCTAGTTTGTCATTAGAATCAGGCAAAGCTGGAAGCGCTTATGCTGTGCCCGCCTTTTTACTGTGATCGGACCGGTTTGGCAGATGGGCCTGTTGCAGCTCGGAGACACGTCGTGATGTTGAGATAGGCTGGCGCAGCAACAGTATATGCTTTCCAAGGACGCAGAAGAAGTGGAAGAAGTGGAAGAAGGGGACGAAGCAGAAGAGAAGGCCAAGATAGCTTCCGAATCTTGGAACGTGATCCGCTTTCATTAGCCACTCTTTTCAGAATATTGCTCTCTTTTCCAAGTGAGAGCAGGTAACAATACATAAGCGATTCGATCACTTCGGGTAATTGAACAGAGAGGAGAGGCAGCTGACTTCAATGATTTCTTTGTGCAAAGGTTTCAAAAAGAAGCTAGTTGTGTGCAACAATTGGCCATGGGTGAAACTGCAGTTGCTGCATTCGAGACTAGCTACGAGATGGTACTACGTTGTTTTGGGGATGGCAACCCTTGGTACCACAGAGAGGGGGCAACCATAATCCTTTTTTTTGGGGAGGGGGGGGGGTGCAAATTTGGTGATTTCTATAAAACTGATTGCGTGGATTCATTCAATGAGTTTGTTTGTGCCGAATTGGTCAATGAAACTGGAAGAAGTGGCGTTTTCGAGCGGATCCCATGGAGTGGTTATCCCAGTTTCAGGGCGCGAGTTTCCCCTGGACGGTTTGAACAGCACCTTTTAGATCCAGCGAGTTTCCTTGTGGTGTGGTTTTTTAAGGTGAAGTTGCTCATGTTCTACGTGTTGTTGGGCTTTGACATCAACGAATGTCTCCCCAGAGCAACATGGAACCCCCCAAAAAAGCCGTTTGTAGAGGAAAACCACCCTTTGGTTCCACCTTGCCGGGGCTTGCCAAGGACAGCGAGGAGGCGCGAGAGAGCTTGCAAGGGGGTTGGTATTGGTTTCAAATCGGGCTATGCGAATTAGGGTGTTGTTTTTTTTGTAGGGGACCCCCCCAAAATTGTGGTTTTCCATTTGCACAAAGAAGGGGTACCCTGCAAAAAGGACACCCCTCTAGTATTGGCTACCAGTAGAGCCGGCGAAGCCGGTGGGCGGAAGTTTCAAAAATATCAAAACTATAGTTCTCTTTCTCTTTCTCTTCTTGACTCTTTTTCTCCGTCATTCTTCCTTTCTTCCTTTCTTTCCTTCCTTCCTCCCTTCTTTCCTTCTTTCTATCTGTCTTTTATGTATTTCTTTCGTTTGCTTGTCTATCTATCTTTCTCTACCTATCTATACCTAACTACCTATCTATCTATCTCTCGTGTTATCTATCTATCTGCTTATCTATCTATCTATCTCTCTTTCTATCTTCTCTATCTATCTCTCTATCTCTCTATCTATATATCTACCTATCTCTCTATCTCTCTATCGATCCATCTCTCTATATCCCTCTATCTCTGTCTCTCTCTTTCTCTATCTCTCTCTATCCCTCTTTCTTTCTATCTAGTTATCTCTCTATCTCTTTCTCTATCTCTTTCTCTATCTCTTTCTATCTATCTATCTATCTATCTATCTATCTATCTATCTATCTATCTATCTATCTGTCTATCTCTCTATCTATCTATCTCTATATCTCTCTGTCTACCTATCTATCCATCTCTCTCTCTATCTGTCTATCTCTCTATCTATCTATCTATCTATCTGTCTGTCTGTCTATCTATCTATCTATCTATCTATCTATCTCTCTCTCTCTATCTCATTATCTGACGTGTATTTATCCATCTCTCTATCTCTCTATGTATCTATCTATCTATCTATCTGTATGTCTAATTATCTATAGATCTACCTATCTATCCATCTCTCTATCTACCTCTCTCTCTCTACCAATCTATCTATCTATCTACCTCTCTATCTATTTATCTATCTATCTATCTATCTATCTATTTATCCATCTATTTATTTCTCTATCTATCTACCTATCTATGTATCTCTCTCTATCTCTGTTTCTATCTATTTATCTATCTCTCTATCTATCTATCTATCTATTTGTCTGTCTGTCTATCTATCTATCTGTCTGTTTATCGTTTATCTATTTGTGCATTTATCTCATCTATCTATCTATCTATCTATCTATCTATCTATCTATCTATCTATCTATCTATCTATCTATCTATCTATCTATCTATCTATCTAATCTATCTATCTATCTATCTATCTATCTATCTCTGTTTCTTTCTATTTATATATCTCTCTATCTCTCTCTTTCTCTCTATCTCTCTCTCTATCTATCTATCTCTCTCTCTCTCTATCTATCTATCTATCTCTCTATCTCTTTATCTCTCTCTCTCTCTCTCTGTCTATTTATCTATCTATCTTGCTCTCTCTCTCTCTCTATCTGTGTATCTATCTATCTATCTATCTATCTATCTATCTATCTATCTATCTATCTCTATCTATCTATCTCTATCTATCTCTTTCTCTATCTCTTTCTATCTTGACTTCGCGTACTACTTTCGTACTTAAAAGTTGCGATTTTCGAGCCCCACTGCGAAAGTGGACTTCACGTACTACTTTCGTACTTAAAAGTTGCGATTTTCAAGCCCCAGCTGCGAAAGTGGACTTCACGTACTACTTTCGTACTTAAAAGTTGCGATTTTTGAGCCCCAGCTACGAAAGTGAACTTCGCGCACTACTTTCGTACTTAAAAGTTGCGATTTTCAATCCCGGCTGCGAAAGTGGACTTCGCGCACTACTTTCGTACTTAAAAGTTGCGATTTTCAAGCCCCAGCTGCGAAAGTTGACTTCGCTTACTACTTTCGCACTTAAAAGTTGCGATTTTCGAGCCCCGGCTGCGAAAGTTGACCTTGCAAAAGTGCTGCGCCTGCCACGAAATCTGTACTTGACCTCGCGAAAGTGCTGCGCCTGCCACGAAATCTGTACTTGACCTTGCGAAAGTGATGCGCCTGCCACGCATTTTGCACTTGACCTTGCGAAAGTGCTGCACCTGCCACGAAATCTGTACTTGACCTTGCGAAAGTGATGCCCCTGCCACGAAATCTGTTCCTGACCTCGCGAAAATGCTGCCCCTGCCACGAAATCTGCGTGTGCCGCCTTGCGCGTCCGTGCCAATGGGATTTGCGATGCGTCCGTGCCAGAAGTAAGAAAATGCTGCGCCTGTCACGAAATCTGCACTTGACCTTGCGAAAGTGATGCACCTGCCACGAAATCTGTACCCGACCTTGCCAAAATGCTGCGCCTGCCACGAAATTTGAACCTTGCGAAAGTGTGCGCGTCCGTGCCAATGGTCCCGGCGCGAGCCCGTCCCGAGCCCGTCCCGAGCCCGTCCCGAGCCCGTCTCCGTCAGACGCCGCGACCGGGGTAGCTTTCAGCCAGCCGGAGAAGCCAAAACCCGCAGAGGGTTGCACTTTTTGCAGATTTCTATTCCCCCGCCACACGTATACGCACGTTTTCTCGCATGCATTCATTCTTTCTTCATCTCATCTTTGCGCAGAGCTACCTTTCAATTAGTTTCCGTAACTCGGAAGTTTCCTTCTAAACTTCCTTTGACTATGATTTGGCTGTTGAGTGTTGGTTTTGGACAAACATGTTTTGTTGGGATCTTTACTAGGGGGAACAGATTGTAGGGGAAACCGCCATCTGGCAAAAGGTTAGAGATTATTGGGATATTTGTGTTGGAGAAGCACCTAAGTGGTTGGGTTTAAAACGGAAACCGACATCACCACCGAAAGTCCAATTTGGGGTACCCCTATTTTAAAAATCGTGCCCATGTGGCCCAGTTATTCCAGCAAAAGACCACCTCTGGTGGGTTTTCATGAATCTCCTGCGCACTGGTCAGCTACCCCTTGATTGGTTAGGGGGTGGGAAACCACCCTAGCGCTCCGATTCAACGCAATCAGGAAGCTGAAAGTCGAAATCGGGTCCTTAGGTCCGAGCCGAAAGCATCCATGAATATGTGGGAGGATATGGGCTCGACTTTCTTGTGGATGGTAGCCTTTTTCTTGGCTCTTAAAGGGACACCAAGAGGTGAACACCACTATTTTGGGGGTCCAACCAAAAGCAGGCTCACCCATATGGATGACTTTTCCTCGTGGATTTAAGCCCTTCCATGTTCCAACTTGACATACCTTTCAAAAGCGCGTGGTTATCACTGCAGTCCTGGCAAAAAGTGTGAACCCGGCACACACCAGAAAATATGCACCAAACCCGGCCGCTTCATGTGCAGACCCGCGCTGCACTGGGCAAACTTATGCCCTTTCGGTGAAACCAAAAGGGGATGGGTAATGTGTTTCTAACATTTAGCACCCAACATAGATCCCTGCACCGATGTCACTTGAGCAAGCGGCTGCCGCACATGCATCGGTAACTTGTCCTGCCAATTGTGGGTGGTTTGGATTGGTGGTTTGGAGAGAACCCGCAATTGGGCTGATGGTTTAGTTTCCTGTTTTGTTTTTGCGCCTTGACTATCGCCTTGGATGTTATTATTTGCAGTCGAACTCCCTTTTTATGGTGAGCAAATTTGCAGTGGCTACGGAGAGTCGTCAGGGTAGTGAGGCGTCAGGGTTCCTATATCCTGTGATTCCCGCAAGGAGTTTCACGATGGCACATATGCTGAAGCCTGCTTCGTGTTGCTCCAGATCAACAAATTCCTACTGTGCAGCTGACTCGCAAGTGGTGGCTGTGGACAGCATATTGAGGTGTACCCTCGTTTCCAGGCTCCAAAAGGGACGGTTCCAAAAGGGACGAACCGCAACATCCAAACAGAAGGCGGTCCTTTTACCGTACCTCGTTTTGGCAGGCCAACGAGGTCAAGGACTCCGACAGCGAGAAGGCCTTTGGACCCTGACGTATTGGAAACCGTTGCAAAACAGGGTGGAAGCACCCGCGTGAAGTGGGTTGGTAAGGGAACCAAACGCTATGCACGGAACCACTTTTAGGCTCTCAGGAACAAGGTCCAAGAGTGCTCCACTCCACTGCGACAACGTGGTGCCTGCGGGTTGGTCTGTTGTGGGTCTACTGCTTGTCAGAGGGCACCCGTTTGTTTGAACACGGCTGCAAACAAGCAACAAGCTCGAAATTGTAACTAGCAAGAGAGAAAATGCTTGATGTATTCACTTTAGCGGCCTCGAAAAGGCGGCTTGCCACCTTACCCCCTGTTGGCTTACCTGGATGTGTTTTTCCAGGTATGTGTACAACATGTATGTATGGCCACCCATGCTGAACATTTTGTACCTTACCCCTTGGATCTCCTGAATTGTCAACCCCCCAGGCGCCCACCCCCCGGGGTCGCGGTTGTCGCTGGTTTTGACAACCTCGGCAGGACAGTGACGACGAGGCGGCGGCGGAAAAGGAGGACTCTGACGAGGAGAAGGAAGCGGAGCCGGCAGCCACTGAAAAGGGCGACTCCGATGCCCGGCGGATGGGTCTGAACCTGTTTTCTTGTCTTTTCTGTGTGGGGGGGGGGGCTTTTTTGGGGCTCCTTGTGAACATTTGCAGGAGAGTGGATTTGACCTACATAGGCAGTCAAACGCTGTATTGCGCTTGAACCCGAACAAGCCGCTTCAAAGCGCTTCAAAACATGTGTGATCAACTATTCAAGACCTATCTGAACAAACCATATAGAAATCTACACAAACCAAACAGCAACTGGTTCCTGCTCCAAGCTTTTCGCCAAGGACAGCGAGAAGGAGGTTGCCACCCAAAAGGGCGACTCCGACTCGGAGAAGGGCTCGGAGAAGGGGTCGGAGAAGGCGTCGGAGAAGGCGTCAGAGAAGGCGTCCGAGAAGGCAGCCGAGAAGGACTCGTCCGACGAGGAGAAGAAGGCGGAGCGAGCCGGGAGCCGTTTTACCATGCTGCTGCATCTCAGTTGCCCAAAGGGCCCAAATACAAGAGGTTAACGTTTTGGGACCAACATGACCAACTCAGGAAGACCAAAAGGTTAAAAGGTCGGGTTTGGGAAAGTGGGTCACATTTACCTTATATAGGATATAAATTCATGTCGGCAAAGTGCCCGAGGCCCCTTGGGGGAACTTGCTTGTGTGTTTTGCCTAGAGCAAATCCAAGACGGTACATGATTCGATTCATGACTCGGTACCAAACCCAAAAGGAAACTAAAGAGGGATGGATGTGTGTGGTGTGTGTTTTCCTCACCAGATCCCCTCCTCTAGCATCTGACTCGGGAAGGCAGACTCCGACGAGAACGAGTCTGCCGCCAAGTCGGACAGTGACAGCGACAAGCCGAAGAAAAAGCGGCGCACGAAGAGCTCTTCGTCAAAGCGAAAGACTCGAAGAAGAAAGGCCCGCTTGGCTTGGCATTTGTTCATCTGACCTGTTTAACAAAAGTGCCTGCGGGTATATATCTTCATACTTTCAGTAAATCCTCCAATGTTGAAAAGGACACCTTCAAGTCTGACCTTTGTACCAGTTGTGTGTTGCTGTTGTCTTTTTGCCGGCCGGGGGAGGAGGGTGCAGTTGCTTTGAAGAGGAATCCTTGCCTTTTGGGTTTCCCACATTTGAAAACAAGCCATTGTTCAGGGAATCCCTTTTTGTTCGGTGGGTCCGGGACCCACTAAGAATGGAGCCAACCCCAATAGAAAACCAACTTTCCTACAAGGGTCACTATTCAAAGCGTTTGCGTTTTGTTCTGACCTTGAACTGGCCAAAGATGTTAGCAAATGACGTAATGCCGTCTATTCGGCAAAAAGCGATTGGCCGCTGGAAGTTGCGGCTTTAGCTTGCTGCTGTTTGCGATGCCACTCTCGGTATTACAACAGACATACATACAACGGACATTTGCCAGGTTTGTCCCTAAAGTCTTTGCACGGTAGATTGCCCAGCACAAGGCTAGTTGTTTGCACGGTTTCGCATGGATTGCCTGGTGATAAGGAACACCGTCTTCAAAGGACTTGCATTCGGGCTCCTCCGGATTTCATCGGGGAGGGTATGGATACCCAGGATTCAATCCTGCACCTGGCTTTTTTCAGCCATGTTGACTAGTTTCAATGGACAGGGTTGCTCTAAGCCTCTAAGCGATGACCATAACTGCTCTGCAACTTGGTAGAACATTGGTTCACTTGTCCCACCACTTGAAGTACAGCGATTAGACGCCGCCAGACGGAGCCTCTTGGTAGAGACCCGCAGCAGTTGGATTCACCTTTGCTCGGGCTTCGCTGCTTGAGGGAAAGACTCAATTACATTGAGCGACACGGGAAGTCTTTGTGTTGCCGTTGTTGTTTTTTGTCTATCTAGGTGTTCCTTTCTTTATTGACGAGATTTCGCGGATCAACTGTACTGATTGGTGGTTGCAAGGCGTATTGTGTTTGCACCCATTGACTAGAACTAGTTTTTGCTCAAAGCCTCTGTGAAATATGTTTCATGCTCCGGCTTGCTCTGGCTTGCCCCGAGCCTACGTTGATTGCGCCCCAGGATTAGACGATGACAAAGCCCCGCAGGTACGTGGTATTGGATCCTTTGAGTTGTCCATTGTTTCAACTAACCACATTTCTACCGCAAAGCCGATGTTTTTCTTTTTTGTTAGCAGTTGCAGGTTTCAGAAACCCAGCAACCTCCTTCAATATAACCACGTGCCAGCTCGTTTCGCTCTGTTTGGTCTTGTTAAACTCCAAACAACGCCTTTGCGTTTGGGGGATCTCTAATCTTTTGGGAGCGGGGGGGGTGTGAGGAAGGGGGGGTCAGAGGAAATGAGTTTGCGATGTTTCTGAAGGTTGCTGCCATGCCAGGACAGGAAGAGAAGTAGCCAAGGTCGCAAGAGGAGCGGAAGCAAGCGCCGGCGCAGGCACGCCTGATGTTGAGAAGATGTGACACAGTGCTTTCGCTGATGCTTCGAACTTGTGCTATTGCGGTTGGATCAGGTTGGTGGGGCCATTTTCTGAAGGAGATCGCACTGTAGTCTAAACCCCAGTAATATGCGGTTGCCAGGCTTCCCCTGGTTCCTTTGCAATTTTACGGAACCCATCGCACCTTGGTGGTCCTGTTTTGGCTGACTGGATCTTCGCTTGCCTTGGCCGAGGCCCTTTTGGAGGGGCAACTCGATCGTTGGTACCCGTCTCCGGTTGGTTTTCGTGGCGCCAAAGACAAGTCATGTCTGCAATGTCTCTACCCGATACAAATTCATAGAGCCCAAACAGACGGTTCCCCGATCATTCAAAAGGGCCGTCTGCTACAATTCACATGAAGGCTTTTTAGGTTCAGTTCTTCCAGTGACCAGTATAGTAAGTAGCCAGCGTAAGTTCACATCTAGGTTCCATATGGTGAGCTTTCCCTGGTTACCCTCCAGCATGTTCATCTCTGCAGAGGAGTAATTTTGGGGCATCCCCACATTGACTAGTGTACTCAACTGGACAACGGATGGTTATCTAGTGTGGACAAAGAAGCGGTTAACAGAGTGAGCCTTCTTTGGAATCAGACGACCGGCACACCTAAATCCAATCAAACAATGACAAACATACAAACAAAATAGTTTATGTACATGCGGGAATGTCGAAATTGGGTCAACCCTTGCCAGGCCCTCCAATGGCTGGCAAATAACCTCAAAACAGCCATTGGGAGGTCATTCCACAGACCATTTGCCATCCATTGGGGGGTGGTGGTTCTGGTTGAGTTGGTTTGTTTTTGTTCTTTTGCCTTTTTCTGAATTGTTTGTTTTTTGGATTGTGTTTGTTTTTTGATTGCGCGGATTTGTTTTTTTTGGGGTCTTATCTAGGTGCAAACCTCGGGCAGGTTAGGCGAACCTTTGCAGATTGGGTCAACCCTTAGTTTCTGATTTGAACGCCAACAAAACCCTCTGCCCCGTTCCGGTCCAGCCCACCGCGCCAGTCGCTCGCGCCGGCGGAGCCGCCGCCGCAGCCGACGGCACCGCTCCCGGCGCCGCTCAGAGGCGTGGACTTGGCTCGGGTCGGGTGAGTTCTTTGAGGCGGACCTCGTGGATCCCGGCATACGGATTTTCCTATTCCACCCGCATCTCATGGTGTTCTCCAATTTCTTATTCGGCTGTGGGGCAAAAACACGGGATCCCATTTTGGGGTGGGCGAGTTCACCACCCATTTTAGAACCTATTTAGTGGGGATTGGGATGTTCACTGGGGGTACGATTTGGCTTTTGACCCATGGCCATACCACCATAGCGCGTTCAAGAAAGCTTTTTGAGTTGTTTTTAGGGGGTTTAATGGTTGGGTTTCCGAATTCCGTCCACAAGTTAGCCAGAACGGGGAAGCCATTGTCCTTGTTGTTGAATTCGTTTTTTTTGATGAAGGGTGGTTTGAGCCCTTTGTTTCCTATCATGGTGGTACGATTCCAGGCAAGCCACTATGGTAGGTAAGCAAGGGCTTGCCCACCCGATATAAAACCTTTTAAACGAAAATGGCGAAGGGATTATAGTGGCTTGCCTGCGATCCACTAGGGGAGTCAAGTGAAAACGAACCGAAGCCAGAATGTGGGCTATGGGAGGCAAACCTAGATGAGACAGGGCTTTGAACCTGAACGGCAGTCCAAATTGTTAATGGTAGATTCCAACAATCTGTTATCCTCGTTTAGTTCTGTTGCAATTCTCTTCTCCCGAACTTCAATGGGCCCTGCGAATCCAAAGCTGGAGATTTGCGCCAGCCTGCCCTCGCGTGTTCCACGTCGAGAGACGTCTCCTTTGGCTCAACGCGAAGATCGGGTCGGACAGCAATTTGGATTTGAAGCTTCCAAGCTTTGGCATTTGATAAGTTGGCACGACGCTTGTTTTTCTCCATGCGAATTGAGAAGCACTCAACAATGAATTTGTTTCGCCTTGCCGCCCGAAGGGTCCTGGGGCTTACTATCAGTGGGCCCAGGGTTCCACACCCATCACACCCCGAAGCAAGCTCCCCTAGGACCCTTAGATCGGCGGTTTCTCGTCTTGTTCCTGGGGTCTGGCGCTATGGACAAGGAGGATGTGCCCGAAGGCACCCGGGCATCCAATCACGCACAGCTCATCTGCAACGATGCGATCCCCGAGGACGGGGGACGTTTCGGCGCTTCGGCGTTTCTCTCGCGGTGCAAAGAGAAGTGGCAAGCAGGATGTTGGGGTTGGGCGAAACAAAGGAAACCACCAAAGGGACCCCTTGCAAGAGAAACCAACGCAGGTTGTTGAAGCAATAGCGCTTTGAACATGTTTGAACAAGGGGTCGGCCCGAGCATGTGAGTTGTGCTTTCTGGTTCTTTAGGCTTTTTCCGAATCGATTGATTTCCGGACGGGCGCTCAGGAGGCCTCAGCCAAGGGCAAATTGCAGCGAGTCTTCGAGGACGCTCAGTTAGGTGAATGGGGGGGTGGGGTGTTTGTTTAATTAAATGGGCTTGTCTCAATATAGCCTACTTCCAAGAAATGGCTTTTCCATGGTTGCCCTTCTAAACCGCCCAAAGAGGGCTTCCTCAAAAGAAGCCATCCTCAAATGCCCTTTGCTGTTTTTGCTTAAGGGAAGGGGAGATCATCCCCAAACTGGGAAGCTCTGGGAGACAAAAAACTGATCTGTCAGGACGAGCTGCCAGAGCAGGAGTTCCTGCGTGGAATTCCAGTCTGGTTGCATGCCGCTTGGACTCCAAAACCAAACTCAATCAAACTGGACTAACATGTCCTGTCTTGGTTTAGTGATAGCTGGAGCCAACACAGGGGCAGGTACGTTCTGGGACCGTGCCCGTGGTGCCCGTGGTGCCCGTGAAGCCCGTGGGCCCGTGAGCCCGTGCCCGTGGTGCCCGTGGTGCCCGTGCCCGTGCTGCCCGTGGTGCCCGTGGTGCCCGTGGTGCCCGTGGTGCCCGTGGTGCCCGTGCCCGTGGTGCCCGTGAAGCCCGTGGTGCCCGTGAAGCCCGTGGGCCCGTGATCCCGTGCCCGTGCTGCCCGTGCTGCCCGTGCTGCCCATGCTGCCCGTGTCTCCACGCGTTAACTTGTTGAAGTAGGCCTAGGGTATGGGGCGGTTGGACTTCGCTGCGTGGGTCTGCCGCTCTTCTACGCCACCTCATGGCCCAGCTCGCCACTTGGGAGGCCGGCGCAGCCCGTGGGTGAGAGGGCTGGCTTGTCAAGGGATGGCTGCACCATCTCTTCTCTACTGCTGAAAGGGCCCCTCGCAAGTACAACGCAACATCTTATGCGAAATCTTATGCGAGAAACATGTTCATGTTTCCTTAAAGCCTGTTTTGGTCCTTCTCTAGCATTTGCCAAGTCTGAGTTTATTTGTGTGTTTGGGGGACTTGGAACAACCTGGGAGCCCTTTTCTCGTTTGATGCTTGAGCCAGCGGCCTGGGGCCATTTGACTCAGCAGCTGGGCACAAGAGCACAAGCCGACGAAGTTGCGTGTTTTGTTCGGTGCTTCAGTCCTTACTTGTTCAATGACGTAGAAGCCGAAGCGCCACGATGCGTCTTTATCTGTGCGCAGGGCAGCATGCACACAGCTGAGCCAGCGTCCCGGCACTGCTCGGAGTGCGGGGCAGCGCTATCTCGTGGAAAACTGGCAGGCCTTCACGCTGCAGTTCTTTTTCCTGAAGGCTGGCGCGCGGTCAAACATGTGACAAAGAGATGTCGGAGACAGGGGTGCAAGTTTTGCGGCAAGACTATCTTCTACAATTTCATCGCGATCTCCAAGAGTGAGCGGCGTTTTCACTGGACAGCTGGCTCGCTGCAGTTTTTCTTCTTGGATGCCAGGCATGGAGTGTCTGTGTCCTGGCTTCAGCAGATGACCCGCCGCTTGTTCTACCAATATGTGGCGTTCTCTGGCGAGGCGCAAGTGCATGGAGCAGAGGCAAGGGCTGCAGGCTTTGAGGGCCGTGTTCCAAGGCACCCAGGGCTCTTTCTGTTCAAAAGTTGGCTTTATTGGAGATTTGTTCTGCGGCTGCACCAGCACGAGGAGGAGACTCAAGAAGGGCGCTGTGTCAATTTGAGCCTGCCGTTTGCAAAGACTTTGTCAACGGCTCCGTGGTATGACGAACATATGCTTCAGCGGCGACTGGCCATGGCAAAAGAGCGCGGGCACGACCTTAGAGCTCTCGTGGTTGATGGCAACTCAAAACTCAGTGGTCGTGTATGCGGCAGGCCAGTGGCGGAATTGCGACGCTGCGAGCCCTTACAAGCTTACACGGCGGTTCCCTGCTCGTGCCCTCCCGCTCGCAAAGCGCGCCGCTGTGACCTTCATATGTCGAAAGCTCAGGAGGGCCCGCTGGATGATCAGGCTGTCGTTGCGCATCGTCGCTACCGAGTTCTCATGGCTCAGCCGTGTCAGTTTCCGTACGAGGTGCTCTTGAAGTCGGTTGACGCGGTCCTATGCGGCGTTGCGTCGCAGGAGCGTGGAAAATGGGTTTCGGCTGGGAAATGCACGCCGCGGCAATTGGAAGAGTATTGGTCGCAGCAAGAGGAGCAGGGCTTCATCTCTCAGCGCACTCCTGGGCAAGAAGAAGTGTCATGCCGCACAAGCAAAGAGACATCCAAGCAGTACCGGCAGCTTGTTCGTCAGAATCGCCTAGGCGGAGTTCTTTTGGCTTGCACTTCCGAGGGCTTCATTGTCCACTTGCAGCAGTTTGTAGGGGCTGAGACCATCCCAGTGAGATACTTTTTTCTTGCGGAAATCTGTGCAAGGTTGCAGGATGTGCGTTGCTGCATCCACGATGATGCTTGCCATGTGGCGCGCTACGCGCTGAAGCACAAGGGCCGCAACGCCCTTGCCAAACGCCTGTCAGAGCTGGCGTGGGTGTTGGACCGGTTCCATAGTGCCGCCCATCGGGATCCATGGTGCGCCCGTCACTGCCATCCATCAGTGCATCAAGAGCTGCTTAGGGGTCTCAACACATCTGCAGCGGAGTCCTGCAATTCCATTCTCGGCCGCTACCGGGTTGCTTTCAGATCCATTGTAGCCTCGAGCACCCGCAGCTTCTATTTACAGGAAATTGTTGAAGGACGCAATCAAGTTGCCGGTGCTGGCGACAAAGCAAATCGCAAGCGCCGTCGGGAAGAAGTGGGCGCGTGATTCCTTGTCATGATTAGCCACTACTTCGGCGGGACGCGCGCGTGCGTAACCTTGCGGCAAAAAAGGGGTGAAGGGGGCGTGTCCTTGCGTCTTGCAAATGGGCAAATCAATCCCGGCAATGCGGGGCGTTGGCCATTACAAGCGGGGGAATGTCTGGGACGAAGTTTGTCCATATGCGCGCCCAGCAAAACCTTTCAAAGACCAACGTGTAAGTGCAAAGTGCGGGACATGGCGTGCCAAAGTGCAGGACGTGACGCGCTAACATGTGCAGCGCAACATGCGAAAAGTGTGCAGACGACAGGGTCAAAGCAAAACAACGACACCCCGACAGTGAACATGGCTTGTGCACGGGACTGCCCGGATGTAGCGAAAAGATTCTTTGCCACACGTCTTTTATGTAGTACAGTTGCACTGAAGAGGGGAGGCGCGACTTTCCGGCCGAAGCTGCCAAAGTGTTACTCCCTTTACCTCATGTGCTGAAAAGGTGCAACTTTTGAGCTGCCACAGCGTACTTCTTTCACCACACTTGTGCTGAAAAGTTGCGACCTTCGAGATGGAGCTGTCAACAAATGTGAAAACGCACAAACCCCTGTGAAGCGAGAGGGTTACCGCAAAACGATACTGGCTGCCCGATGTTCTTTTCCTGCATGAGGGTCTCATGCGAGCGGTTTCTACGCCTGGATCTAGACTTTCTGCGCGGCGCATTCAACAGGGAGAATGGAACGGTGAGACCCATTCGTTTGTGCTGCGTAGCAAGTCTGGATCCCGCCGGTATCATGATGGCAGTTCCGTAACCCGTTTATTTTTAGCATTTGCGGCTGAATGTTTGCCTTCTGGTGGCCTCTTTGTCTCCAAGACACTCGTTTGGCCACTCACCCGGCCGGGCTCCGGAATCGAGATTTTCT